TAACACTGAAGCACAGCCCATTCCCTGGGGAGCACAGGACTTCCTAGCACCATGAGATGGTCACAATGACACTCAGGTCATGGCTGGCCCCGTGAGGCTGAGGGTTAGCAGATTGACTTCTTGGTGGTCTGGGAATAACATGCAGCATCTAACCAGCATTTTTCCAGGGCTTTATTTTCCATGCCAGGAATTCCTCCTAGGGAGTATTGTGTGGATCATAGTAGAGAAATGTATATTTCTCTGTGTCTGCTCAGCATCTCCTTAGGCCAGCACTGTGCCAGCCTGTGGATGGACAGAGAGCAGGAGGAAGCCGGAGGAACTGGGGTCCTGGGTCTCTATGCTCTGAGCTCGTAGCTGTGGGCAGAAGGCGGAAGGCAGCACATACACCTGCTGGGATCTACCCTGAAGCCCTTCAGGCTTCCCTAGGGTCAGGGTGGAGAAATGGAAAAAGGCCCCCAGAGACAGTCAAAGGTCAACTCTGCACTGGCCATATAAAAAGAGATGGAAAAACAAATTTTCTTGAAATCCAAGCCTGGGACTGCCAACCAAGTGCCCTCTGACTTCCCCAGTATTAGGGAAATAAAAATGAATTCGCTGATGTTTGGAAAAAGATCCAAAACCTACACAGTTTCAAGTGAGATCCTATTTATACTTGGTCCACTTTCCGTAAGTAGCCATCGGTGCAGCTGAGGTTGTCGCTCATGATGAAATGTGTTCAATGAGTCACCAGATGCGTGGCACCAGGAGTGGAGCCCTGAACAAAATGACTAGTTTAGATCCACCGGCAGGACACCACAGCAGTGCAGGGAGCACGGGAAATACAGGAGGAGAGAAAATTGGGGAAGAGCAGGGACAAGCGCGGTGGGGACTGAGGCTGTACACAGGGAGGATCGGCAAGCCTTTCTGAGCCAGTGATTTCTGAGCTGAAGTCTGAATGGAGAAAGGACAGGGTGGTCCTGCAGGTTTGGGGGGCAGCAAACACAAGGACCTCAGGCTGGAATGCACTTGTGCATTAAAGAAATAGCAAAAAGGCAAAGGTAGCAATGCTGAGAGAACCAGGTGGATGGTGACAGTGGGAGACTGCATGGGGGCCATAGGCAGGACCTTGAGACCATGTGGATTTTTATCCAAGGGAAAAGGAATCAGAAAACTCTCAGCAGGAGTGGGTCATGTTCTGACATCTGTTTTGAAAGAACTCTGGCTATAATTTGCTTCTTTGGCACATGCCAAAAAGACTGCCTAAGAGGAGGGCTATCTCAAACCCCCTTTGGAGCCTGACTTTGCTTCCATCTACCAAGCTCACTTGAAATTTTGAACCTCCTGCCTCAGCCTCTCCAGTAGCTGGGGTTACAGGAGTGTGCCATTATGGCTGGCTCTAATTTTTTTTTTTTGGTACCGGGGATCGAACTCGGGTCCTTGTGCTTGCACAGCAGGCGACGAAACCACTGAGCTAAATCCCTGGCCCTGTCTGGCTCTAATTTACAAAACAGTTTCTCTCTCTTTCTTTCTTTCTTTCTTTCTTTTCTTTCTATTTTTCTCTTCTCTTTCTTTCTTTTCTTTCTATTTTTCTCTTTTCTTTCTTTCTTTCTTTGTCTTCCATCCTTCCTTTCATTTTCTCTTTCTTTCTCTCTCTTTCTTTCCCTCTCTCTCTTCCTCCCTCCCTCTCTCCCTCTCTCTTTCTTAGATAGAATCTTGCTCTGTTGCCCAGGCTGGCTTCAAATTTGTGATTCTCCTGGCTCAGCCTCCCGAGTAGCTGGAATTACAGGTGTGCATAGCTATGCCTGGCTATTATTCAAACAAAACAACCCAAAAGCCCAGTTGCATAGTCCCCATCATATAGATGTAAAATAATGTATTTAATTTTCCCTACTGCTAGATATTTAGTATGTTTCCTTTTTTAAAAAGCATCTATTACAAACAGAGCTGCAATCTATAAACTGGTATTAATCATTTTGCACACATCTGCAGGATAAATTCCCGGGAGTAGAATCACTGAGTAAATGGTATGTACATTTTGTCAGGGCTCTCTTGCTGCCCTCATGCACACACTATACCAATTTAAGCTCTTAGTGGTGACACATGAGGGGCCACCCTCCACCCTCCTTGCCCCCAGTGCCCCCCGAGAACCAAACCTCTGGGATTTTGGCCACTCTTATAGGCGTGCCTGTATAGTTTTAGTGTATGTCCCTTCCCTTATGGATCAAGTTGGGGATTTGTTCAAATGTTCACAAACCTTCAGGCTTCCTTTTCTCTTGCATTATGTTATCAGTATAAGAAACACCCACTGATGTATTCCTTCATTCCCAATAGAAACACCGAGGGTCACTGCCTCTCCACTGGACACTCCAGTCACCATGGGTGGATGATGCGTTTGGGGACAGCCCTGCCTTCTCAGAGTGAGCTGTCTAGCAAGGGACATGGTTTTGAACCAACTGTTGAACGACTGATGGAATTGTCACATGCATCCATGTATTTCTGCATCTGTGTCTGTAACATACAGGAGAGTTGGGCTGCATACTGAAATTAACAGAGATGATCTTTGAGAAGTGATTTTTTTCCCTTTATGCTTTTCTATATTTTAAGTTTTCTGTAATGTACATAGATTACACGAAAAGTCTTTTTTCCTTTGCTCATTTTCTGAATTTTCTGTTTTTTACAAGAGGATACATATGATTTCTGCAATAAGGAGAAAGTAATGACATGAAGGTCCTGAGCACAGTGTGCACACATGGGGACCAGCAGCGTGAAGAGGCAGAGGGCTAGGAGTGGAGCTGGCTCCTATGATCGCCCGCCCCAAGTTCCTTCGCAGAACTTCCCGGGAAGACAGAGGCCGCTCCCCTCGATTCTCCCTAGCCCGGCGGCTCCATCTGCCTCCAGGGAAGCAGAGTCCAAGCCCAGTTCCTGCGGAAGATCCCGACTCCCGGGGCTCCAGCCCGGAAGTCTGGTGCCGGCCTCTGGCTCAGTGTGCAAGCGCGACGCCTGTTGGCGGAATGTGAATATGAGCGGGATTCCTGAACCCTGGTTCCCAGGATGGGGATGTCTGGGATTTTCCTTTTGCCCGGTTTGCCTAAAACCTCAAGGTCAGCCGCGCACTCGGCATCTGGCTTCGCAGCTCTCCTTGCTTCCTGGGTTCCAAGGTTTTCCTGGAAAACCAGGTCTGATTTGGAGGCTTGGATTGCGGAGCCACAGGTGTGTGCGCCCAGCCTTTCAGATCCCACAGGGCAGGCCGCAGGGGGACAGGGAGCGGGCTGTGCCGATCAGCAGGTGGAGCATGGTGGCCCTTGCTGTGCGGGGTGGACTGGAATCTGGCCAGCAGCCTCCAAGTGCCAGGCCTGGACGGCCTGTGGCAGCAGGGAGCAGGAAGGTGCTCCACAGCACACGGGGGAGGGCACGGGTGCAGTTCTTGGGCGGCAGGTGGCACCCTGAGTACAATATCTCCTCTCGTGGAGTCTTCAAGACATCCTGACAAGGACCAAGAAGCTCCCTCTTCCGAGCAGCTCTGGTCTGCACTGGTAAGACCTTGGGTTCTGGGCGGTAGGTGGAAGGCCACCAGGTTACTGTCACCAATACTCATCCTGAAAGCATGACCTCGAGGGTGCATGGACATGGCTGAGCGCAGAGCTGCCTGGAGAATTGCGTGTCTGCAGCATTGCCTTCCCCTGGGGCACTGTTCTTGATACTTGGGACGTGCACAGGGTGACCGTGACTTCTGTCCCCTGGCCGCGGTCTGTCTTCAGCACTGCAGCTGGACTCCAGGCTCACAGCATGTGGCCTCCAATCCTGCTGGAGCAGAGGGGACACTTCCACTGGCAAGGCTGGGCGTGTGCCACTCAGGCCCAAGGCTGGGGTGAGGGTTCTGTGTCTGGGGTTGCTTAGGAAGCTAAGCAGCCAGGAGTCGGGTGTGAGGCCCAAGTGGCACTTTACTGGGGAGGCTCCACTTGTCTGGCTGGAGACACAAGGCAGGGCTTATGGCTTGCCCCAGAGCCCCTCAAGTTACTTCCTAGGAAGGTGGGAAGGGGAGAGACTCCTGATCACTTCCTGCAGGAAGACCAGCTTCCCAGACAGGGCTGGGGGCAGAGGGTTTTGCTCCCTCGGGTCTGGAGGGGCCCAAGGCTGCTGCCCAGCCCAAGACCTGGACAAAGCCTTCCAGGTTGGCACCAGGGCCCACCTGTCGGTTCCAGAGCCTGTGGGCACTGCCGAGAATGTAGGCCAAGCTGGTGCCTACAGGACGCTGGCAGGGGAGGAAGAGTGGACGCTAGGACTGCAGCTACCTGGGGACAGGCTCGGGAGAAGCTCCAGGAAGAGGGACAGAGAGCCGGCCCCCAACCTCTCATTTTGCAGATTAAAATGAAACAGACGGGAAAACCCAAACTGCCCAGAGGCCCAGAGAGGAAGTGGCAAGCAGGAGATCACACAGCAAGTTCGAGGCGGCATGGGCTCTAGACTCTGTGAGACGCTTCCTGTGGGCTCTTCCCATGGCGCTGCTCACAAGGCACCGTCACTAGCCGCTCCTCTGCCTTGCTCTTGAGAACAGTGGCCTGTCTCTGATCCGGAGGTCAGCCCTGGCACCCCAACTTCCTGAGCGGGCCCATACTTCCCTGAGCTGATCAACATCTTCTCGACCCAGGAAGACCCACTCTCCTGATGTGAAGACTGAGGCCCAGAGAGGCTGGGACCCTTGCCCTCTGGCGTGTCTGACTATAGTTCCAGACCACGGTTTCATCTTTCTTTCGGGGGAGCTGCTGAGCCAGAGGGAGACATGAGTTTAAAAAGAAAAGGATTCTGAAACTCAGAGCCGCCCCGCTTGCTGTGACCCCGCGGCCGAGGCAGGCAGTTCTCCCCTCCTTTGGGCTCTAGCGCCCTCTCCCGGCGTTCGGGGATAGGGCGGATCTCCTGGCGGGGGCTAAGGGGCGGGGAGTGGGCGGGGAGTGGGCGAGGCAGGTCCTGCCAAGCGCTATAAAGGCGGCGTCCGGGCCGGGAGGCGGAGAGCTCAAGCAGAGCAGGAGCCTAGTGGCTGAGGTGCCACCGAGGCTGGGGACTGAACCCAGATCTCCAGGCCGAGTTCACTGCGCCTGCTGCACCGATCTCTGCGCTTGCTCCTGCGAGGCGCCGCACTGCCTCAGCCGCCGCCCCGGAGGTAAGCGGGCCAGGGTTGTCAGGGATGGATGGGGGGGTCCCGCGTCCCCGCACGACTCCTGCTGGTCCCCCTTGTCGTGCCGTCCGCTTGTCCGTGTGTCCATGAGTCTGCCGCTGTCCTCTGCGGGTCTCCCTGAACCCGGGGGTTCGGTGCGCGCGGCAGTGTAGGGGCGCGGGGTCCCCAGCAGCGTGGACCCCTGGGGAAGGCCCTGCCTGCCTAGTTCCCTTCGGAAGGAGGCCCAGGGCTGGTCCGCCCGAGCCCGGCGAGGGGCCGCGGGTGCGCACCGGAGCGTGGCTGCAACAGGTCTGCTCCCCGCTCGAGCTCCGCGCCGTCCCCTGGGGTCCCCTCCGCCTCTCCGCGCCGCGCGAGCACCACAGGACGTCGATGGCCTTGGGGCCCCTGCTGATACTCAAGCTGCCACCCTAAGACTGGCAGCGGAGAAGGCTCGGAGGTCGCTGGCAGAGACCGGTCGGCTCAAGTGGGTGGCCTCGGGTGAAGCGGAAGGACAGCGTCCTGGCGGGGCGCAGCCAGGGTCGTGGCCAGACTCCAGCTCCCCGCCCGGGGAACGAAGCCGGCGACGTTGTGGAATGGTCCGGCGAGAAACGAGGAGGGTCCGGAGCGCACCGGCCACCCACCGGCGCCGAGGCTCGAGGCTCGGAGTCCTGCTCCTTGAGCAGCGCTGCGCAGGTAAGGGCTCCCTTTCCGAGTTAAACCTTTGATGTGCGCGCCAGCGCCTGGCTCAGCCCCACGGGGAGAGGGGAACTCGGGCCTCTCTCCCTCGCCGCGGTCAGGAGCGCGTTCCCGGCGCGCCCCGGGGAGGGAGCCGGCGGCTCTCTGCGTGCCAGGCTCCGCGCCACCATGGACAGCTCCCAGCCGCTTCCTCCACGCGGGTCTGTGGCCCTGGGTCTGTGGAGTCACTCGCTGTTCCCAGGACGCGGGGCACTGGGGCGCTGGGAAGGAGGAAGAGGTGGACAGTCTGCGCGTGCCTCGGTATTCCATCCCCATGTACCACTAAACCACTGAGGAGGCACGGGAGAGGCTGCGGTTTGTGTCTTGTTCTCCCTCCCCCAGCCTGCAGCAGACTGTACAGCACCTCCGGGCATCACCTGGGGCTTCCTTGGCCTTTCTGTGACACTACAAGGACCCTTTCGGGGTGCTGAAGGTGCGACCCTTGAGTATCTGACCGGGGCAGTGAGACGATGCCAGACGTTTCTGTGTAGGACATAGGGTCATGTGTTTCATCTTATTGAACTTTGTAATAAGTGTGCTATCTGGAGCACATATTAATTTCACGGTGAATAACACAAATGGAGAAGAAATCAAACGGAATGAATTTACAATTGTGTGTTTGAATGCAATTTCAAAAGCAACCATACTGTTTTCTAGTCCTTATGGTTTCCTATGAAGTGCAAAATGCTCTTAAAGCAGCTCCCAGGGACTCCTGGTTGGCCCCGTAGCGTAGCGTTGTTCAAGTTGGTTACTTGGAAACAGTGAGAAAACCTGGGCTGGTTAATCTGTGCACGAAGTGACACATCTCCCTCTAGTGAGAAACAACACTGGAGAGAACCATTTTTCTTGTGCATCTTGCGTTTTAAATTGCAACTGAGAAGTTCTATGTGTGGTTGATGCCAGCCTGTGGAGAGAAAAAAAGAGTCAGTTAAACTCTTGAGCCTGCTTCTGTGTCTGTAAGGTGGGGTACTACAATCTGCCTCTCATGGCTGCTGTGGGAATTAATTAGCACGCTGTAAGGCTTTTAACCCAGTGCCGAGCACTGAGCCGTCTTATACGATGGGGCTGATAGCAGGGATGTTTTAAAGACAGCTTTGTATTTCTTGTGAACTGTGTTCACCAGCCCTCTGCCCTCTCTCCTAACCTGCTCACTCTTCAGTAGGGACTCCATCTCCATCTCTACTTTATTTTCACATTTGAGAACCTGTTGATGGGATGGATGAAAATGCTGAAGTTGATCACAGTGCTGAGAATATTCTTGAAGATAAATGGAAGAACTGTTATATGCAACAAATCGGTCAGCTGTCTTTTCTGCCTGTACCACTTGGAGGGAAAAAAAGTAAGTCACTTTCAAAGTATTATCACAGACCTCAGATTCAGATGATCATTCTTCTGGGCCTTTCTCTTAGAAGAATGCAAGGTCTTTCAGGAGATTCCTTGTCTGCCTGGGGATGAAGTGCTCTTGGGAGTCACTGCAGTCTGGCCTCCAAAGCCAGGTTCTCCAGGAAGAAATGTGGGTTAAGGTACCAGGCAGGAGCATCTAGGAGATCCCAGAGTGGCCATTGTCCCTGAGGAGGAAGCATAGTCCTTCGTGTTGAGACTGACCAAACTGTGAGATCCTGGCCAGCACCCTCTATCACATTGTTTGGTTCCAGCTGGATTTGAAAGTCCCCTAGAGCTCTGCATTTAGGAGTTCTGTCTGGTAGAAATCTAGTAAATGACACACCATGGAAACTGGGATAATGCACTTATAAAGTACCCAACCTTCCAGTTAGCTGTTTTCCCTTTGATAGTGTGTATGCCTGTGTGTGTATATGTCTACCAGTTTCACATTCAGTAGCCTTAGCTTTTCCTTCTCTCTTTCCCCTTAATAGATCAGAAGGACTCTTTGCTTCCTCCTTCTGGAAGGAGTTGAGCTAAAGGACAATCAGATTCTGGGGTCTTCCTGGGACTTTCTTCTACTGGTGACGTGACTGGAGCAGGAGGAAGACCCGAGCTCATGCCTGAGCTGAAGTCTTGCCTTTCTTCAGCAGAATTGCATGCAGATTTCAGTTTCCAGCATCCTTGTGGCTTTCTGGTAAGAAAATGGTTGAACTACAGGACACTCTTGGAAAGCAGGGCCCATGTGGGTAGGAAATGTCGAGCAGAAGAAAGGAGCTCTTCATGGGTCCTGTGACTTCGAGTCAGTTGCAGTGGTGTCTAAGTCCCCAGGACACACAGAGCAAATGTCAGTAGTAGCATTCAGTGAGAATGGCCAGCAGGATGAGAGGGGTGAGCTTCGTCTCTCTCAGCCTCCTTTGAAGTCTGCCCTGTAAATGACTCCCTTTTAGTACCTTCTGTGGTATTGGCAGAGAAGTACTTCTTGATGGATTAAATTCGTTTTGCATTTGCAGCTGTAGCTCAAGAGAGAAATGCAAGTTTGTAAGCTGGGTTCCTAAAAGGGAATAAAGTTATGCCTGTGGGCTGCATCCACAAGATCCCAGCTCTCTGAAAAGTCTGGGATGCATATATCTTTGTACCCAGTGGCAAATGCCCAGATGTTTGATCTGATCGGGATAATGTGTCAGCTGTCTCCTTAATGCTGTTTTTTACATCATGTTATGCAGGCAGTTTCAGCCTCCTTTGAACAGTGACTAGCAAAGGATCAGATCTGTATTCTCCTCTATCTTGTTGGGTTGATGGGAGGTTGGGCGAGGCCATGGGTACTGGGGGAGACTTATCAGTACTGTGTTCCTTTCTACTGTTTTGCCAGCTGTTCAGCTGGGTCTGTCCCTCCTCCTGAAAGTCTGGCATGTGTGGACTCTCCAAACTTGGGGGATGTGATGGCTATCATGGCGACTTACTAAGGTTTTGAGGCCTTCCCAGCCTCTCTGGTAGGCCTCACAGCCGCGCTTTTCCTCAGTCTGCCCTGTGCCAGGCTTTGTTCTAGCTGGGGTCTTTGGAAGGGAGATGGCTTGCAGAGAAATGCCATCAAATATACATTTGCTGCCTGCTTAGTTCCCTGGATGCCAGGAAGCACAATGCCCACCCAGAGGGAGCATGGCACTCCTACTCCTGTTATTTCCTAGGGCTCAGCCCTGGCTCAGTGTGGCTCCAGGAATCAGAAGGCATCTTTCCCTTCTCACCCTGCAGGACGGCGGCCTGGGAAGCACAGCAGGCCCTCTTGGCTTAGGGCCACTCCCACAGGGCCCATCTGCAGCCCCGGACAGCCTGTCTCCTTGCTTTGGGAAATGGCTGAGCTTTAGCTTTGAGCCTTTTGCAAGGGCAGCTGTAACATGGGTTTAGATACAACTGGAGTTTAAAGTGCATGGAGCAGACAACTGCTTTTGAAAACCCTAGGTGTTCCTTTCTCGCAGCTGTCTGCTGAAGGGCTTAGCCATTAGGCATTGTCTGTTACAGAAAGGCATGTCCAGAGCCCGGTGGTTCTGGCATGGAGAGCACCCACTGCTGTCTCCCATTTCAGATGGCATGGGGGGGGTGCCAGCCTGCTTAGCAGCCTGCTTCCTGGGCCCTGTCTGTGCTGGGAGTTCATGCTTCTGGCCTGAGTCTCCCTGGCTGTAAGACATGGACACAGCCGGTGGGACTGAGAATGGTACTGTGGCTTTGAGGGCAGGACACAGACTTCCTTTCTGTGGCCCACCAGTCAGGGGAGGTGGGAGCCATTGGAGTGTCCCTTGGGGACTGGATTAAAGGTGACAGCTGCTGTGACTCTGCTCCCTCCCTGGACCAGCTGCCTTGCTTGTACAGATACCTTGGCTCCTCTGATTTTCTGTTTCTTTACCTGTAAAACAAAGAGGTGAGGTTAGACCCTGTTTCCTAGACCTGAATATGCAAACAAGCCAGAGGGACTGGAGGGTTAAGGGAAAGTTCTGGTTTGGCTGCGGCAGGCTGGGCCCGCACGTCTACATCTCTAACAAGCTTCCTTCTGACGCTTCCTTTGTGTAGCAAGGACCTACATGGCTACTGACTTTCTGTGATTCTGACTCTAACTCATTTTGGTGTCATTTAAGTTAACTTTTGATGTCCAAGTTGATGCCTTCCAGCTGGCTTACACGCTCTTAATGACCTTATAATGACCCTTCAAATTCTTGGAGATAATTATTGTCCTTCCTAAGCTGTCTTATCAGTAGACTAAATATCTTGAACCACTTTAAGTTTTCCCTTTTCCCTGTTGTAATAAATTTTCAAAGCTTTCCAGACCGAGTTACTTTTAAGTGCAAGACCATTGTGCAAGTGGCAATTTATCTTTGCCTGGCAGAGGCATTTGAATGCAATTTTGGTGGTATTAAGAGATCACTTGGGGAATTTCATCTAACTCTGCTCCCAGACATTGAAAATGCATGTTTACATTTAAACAACTCTTCTTGACTTGAAAAGATCACAGTTGTTTTTTGTTTTTCAACCTGAAGATGAAATTTAAGGCACATTATCTTTCTCAGCCCCTACCCTGCCACATTACTGGCCATCACAGATGTATTCTGGGAGCCGGGCTACAGGTGTGTCGCTAAATTCCATCATCCACCACCACATACAGCAGCCCAAAATAGAGGACACATTTTAGATCGTCCATGTGGCAGGCTCTGAATTAGCCACTGGGGAGTTGGAATTGAATCAGGGTCCCCATCTCTATTGGGGCAACAAACATCAAAGTCAGAAGTTGCCTAACAATGTGAGGGTGGCCAGGACAGTGGGACACAGGTGAAGATAACTCAGCTAGAAGAGATCCCTGATGCTCATGGAGAAGGAGGATGGGGTAGAAGCCTGGCTGGATTACCGGGAGTTTCCATGAAGTCTTAGCTTAGGCAAAGGTGGGATATGGTGATTGAAGAAGGCGTTGCACACAGAGATCAGAGGCATTAAGTCCTCTTGGGTGCCTGAAGCTCCTCACCTTTCCAGGCCCCCGGAAACTCTCTTACCTATGGAGACCGAAGCAAGTCTTTCAGGCAGCTGTAGCTCTAAGGGGCCTTCAGTCTCTTGGATCAGTGGTTTAAAAATCACCTTAACCATGAAATGCTTTGTTCCAATAAAATCTGACTCAATCCAATTTACAAGGCAAACAGAAAGCATTTATGTTTGGGGGTAAGGGGTGGATCTTTCTCTTGAGGCAGCCAAGGGGCTCCGTGGGGCTCTGTGGGCTCCCAGCACGCAGCTGGAAAACCTTTGTCTCCATCATTTTGTTTTGCTCTTGGCGGTCATATTAATAGTGTTATCTTAGTTTTATTTTCATCTCCCTTGCTGTGTCTTTTTAATATTCCGAGGTCTTGCTGTTTCGGGTGTGCCAACAATTTTCAAAAACCTGCAACCAGAGTTATCTTCTGTGTGATACCATAACAAAACTGGGGTGCAAGGCCTGCCGGTGGGGTGCTGGTCTGTAAAACTCAGCATGGGAGGAGGGAAGTGGCACTGTGAGCATCTTGCAAAAATAGGCTTTTTATTTTCAGCTTGTCAATCACTCTCAAACCTCCTAGGACTTTTCAGATTCTGAAAAGCTGGTAAGGAAAAAGAATTCATTTATTTCCAGGATATAAGAGTCAACACATTCTACACAGGACCTTGTGCCCCTTTCCAAGGGAAAGTTGTCAAATTGGATGTTTTCAAAAGTGGGGTTTAAAGGTGAGCTTGAGGCAGATGGGCCAGACTTGGAAGAGCTGAGCTGCAGGTCACAGTGGTAACTTCTGTGCATCCCCCACAAAGTTCTCCCAAAGGAAGAAATTGGTACTCTGAGTAGGGCAACCTTGGAGCACAGCCTACCTTGATGATGGGTGGTCCTGGTCCCATGAAAGGGCCATGGGCCTGGCCAGCTCCACAGCACAATCTTGTGAAGATTTAAGAGGACAGGACAGAAGCGAGGCGTGTTGAATGCAGAGAGCTCAGGAGCATCTCCACCTTGGGAAGATGGCCTGATTTCCCTCTAGGAGGGGGAGCTGCCCAGGGCCCCCTGCTGGGCTGGGCAGGGTTTCTATCTGAGGGACATTTACACCACAGGCATCACCATTGTGCTTGGAACTCTGAACCCTCCTGACTCCCGAAGGCTTTGCCTTCGGCCCTAATTAATTAGGTTGCTACTGTGAGGTGTGATTGAAAAATTTAAATTCCAAATTATTACGGTAAAAGACACATTGTCATTCATCCCCCTCAAAACATTCCCTATTGCTTCGAATACACTTATCCCATTGCTCGTGCCACTTTCTGAAGCAGTTCTGGAAGTCTTTTGTGAGCATATTAGTTGCATTGTTGTTGCTGTCTTGGTGTCCTGAATTGATTCAAAATGTTTATCTTTCATGGTCATTTTGACTTTGGGGAAGAACCAGACAGGACGTTGCATGGTGCCAGATCTGGTGAATATGGTGGATAAGGATGTACTGTAATGTTTTTACGAGCCTGCTTTTCCATTGAATGGCACTTGGCAGCAGCATTCACCATAGTTTTGTATAACACCTTGTAAAGACACAAAAGAGCTGCCTCAGGAAGTGGAAAGAGTGATGGGAAAAGTGTGTTTGAGGGGCATGAATGGCAATGTGTCTTTTACTGTGATCAATTTTTAAAATTTAAGCACACACTGTATATGCTGATCACCCCTTGTACACAGTCCTGGCCTTGTGGCATGGGTGACCACAGATGCTGGTTTCCTAAGTCCCATGGCACCATCTTTCTGGGGGTCTAGCTGGTGGCTGTCACCTTGCCTTATGTCCCTTCCTCCCAAGGGGCAGTGGTGACATCTGCTGTGGGACACGTGAACATTAATGTCCAAGGCCACAGAGGTGGAGCAGTGTGGCCTGGCTTCTGCCTGGCTTCTAGCCACCTGCCTTCCTTAGAGGACACACGTCCATGCCACGTGGTAGTGACAACTGTCCACAGTGTGGTCCCCTGAGCCCCTTGGGCCCCACTTGTGTGGGTGTGCAAAGCTGTCCTCCTTCCATAAAGAACAGAACAGAGGAGCCCAGGGCGAGTGCAGAAGGGAGCAGGTTTGGTGAAATATGAAAAAAATATTGTTTTAAATAAGTCGGTGGTTTAGGACAAGCCTGTTTCAAAGACGTATTACAGACACTGAGTAATTTATATTATGCTCATTTTCCA